TCACACCGGACTATCTACTGCAAGTAGAACTTGTTATTCCGAGCTGCATACTGCGGAGCTTTTTGCCGGTCCATATCCTAAATGTAACGTGCTGGTCTTGTAGTCTGACGGCACGTGTTCGAGGCTGCGCAGGGGCAGGGCGACCCTTGCAATATTCTTAGCCCACGTGCAACCGGTGGTGGTTGCACGGCAGCTGAGCGTCGATACTGCGTTCCGGCGTTTTGCTGATGCGTTCTTCTTCTTCTGTTGTATGTATGTCTTTAACATTTGGCTAATAGACAACTGGCAGAGTGCCACAACACATAAGTAAAAACAACTGAAAGGAGGAAAAGAACGTCAGCGAAAAGGTAAGGAAGTTTTCATGTGATGCCTGTCTTCTTCTGTTGACGTACATCATAGGGTGAGCATTGAATTTCATCCCAACTTCCTGATGGCGTTTGAGTTTGCCATAGCGGACCAGTTTGGCTAAATGATTTTATTGAATTATATAGACATCCCGGGGGTGTTCTCTCAGACGGTCTTTATAAGCGATCCAAGCCGAATCCATTACAGGCATGCACTTTTGTGTCCGGCTCCACAGAAAGTACTTCGTTTGCTTCGGGTGAAAGACCTTAGTTTCCGATTCAGTTACTACTAATCCGGTGAATTGGATTACAAAAACACAATGCAGGTGACATCAGACCTTTTCTCCGTCAGAAAGGGCCAGTTGGTTTCTGGAACATGATCAGACAGTGTAACGTAATTGGTGACGACGTGGACTTCCTCGGTGTTTTCGCAGACGTGTTCCGTGTGGGAGATGTGGCGGGAAAGCAGCGTCAGCTACGGCCAAGCGGTACACCTATATTCATTACATCAGTCATAGGTTCTTCGTTGGTGAACACAATGCCTAAAACATATGGTTCGTCACCAGTTCTCTCTCGTGGAGGCGGTGGCGTGGTTTCACAGCGGTAGATCGCTGTTTACTCCTTACAGGTCCGCTTGTATTTGTTCGCTGTGCGAAGCTGCAACTGCTTACGTGCAGGTTGAAGTCCCACTCCAGGAGCACTTGGCTTCATGACCGTACCAAGATTCGCCTCATAGCAGACGCCAGGCAGTGACCCATTTCCAGCGTGGACTTTGGAGGGCGGTGAATTATTGCAAGAAAACGGACCACGTTTCAGGTTCAGGTTGCACCAGAGAGAATCGACAACTCACGTACTTGGATCGTTGATTATATCGATATGCATCTCAGAGTGGTGATAGAGGAGCACTCCGACTCCTTTGCTGGGTCCATCTTTTCGTAGGGGAACATGCCGAGCAGGGATACCATAACATCCGTGATTTCGGTTTTCAGCCATCCTTTAGTTATCGTGACTATGTCCCAAGAAGTCGAACCCTGACGAGTACGAAGCTCGGTTGACTTATTGAAGAAACCTTGTGTGTTGGTTTACAAGCAGGTGAGGGCTTCAGATGTTACCAGTGTATTTGTGAGTGTGGCTTCTGTGTGAGGGCTTATACCGATCCTTGTTGGGCCGGCTGTCGGTTGTTCATTTTTTAAACCATAATTGCTGGCCCCGGAGCAATCCCAGGTTAGCAAATAGCGTTCGCAGCTGCAACATGTGGCTGCAAATCTAGACATCCTTCAGCTGAGTGATTGTTCTGAATTGATCCCGGTTTTGAGCGGCATGCTGACGGGATCGCACCCATTGGCCTGGTGTCCATCGATTTTATCCGGATCTCAGATGGCAGCTTCTCGCGCAATTTGAGCCAGGTTTCCATCAGCTTTACTGCCAATGGTTCGATTCGCATTGTTACTTTTAGCACTTGGGCACCTCTGCCTCAGTAGTCAGGCCACACTGGCTACCTTGAGATCGAACTGGTGATCACATTTTCGAGTACGATTACTTCATGGATGAACCGTCATTTATCCCAGCTATGTGCTAGAGGCTCTAGAGCGCTTAGAGTCTGAAGCTCGGAGAGACTATGGACAAGAAGCGATTTTCCGTATTTTGGTTTGCGATCGTCGTCCGAGTTTAGTTTGCGTTGCTGGCGTTCGGTCCATGGAACATGTGGGAAAGTGTAGACCGTGTACTGCGTTGTTCGGAGGCGAGTGGTTGACAAGAGAACGGTCTCCACATCATCTCTTGACTGAATAGTTTGGATTACTCGTGGTTCACAGTAGTGTGCCGATCTTGGATGGCGGATGAACTGCATCATACTAGGCTGTTTTGCTCGGACCCTAATTAATTGCCACATGACATGCCACTGTTTCTGATCGTCTAGCAACTTGCCCATTGATGGAGTTTGCCTCGGATTCAGGCACAAAAGCATATTACAATAAAAGCATTATGGTGCTGCTTAGTATTCTCCTTGTTGGAAGCGTGTGTAACCGCTTTCTTTGGTCTGACAACAGTTGGCACACTGGATCGCCTGATTGTATTGGTGGCCATAACAGCTCCCAGTTGGACAGCGATCCAGGCTGTGATGGATGGTACCACTTTCACGTGGGTGGCAGCAATGGACGCGTATATTGTTGCTCTCTCAACAATGTTGGATGTACCGCGAGGAACTGGGCACCATTTCTTCATGCAAGATTTCAAAACACAATGGAAGCTACCTGGCTGATGACTGCTGCACCTTCACAATTGAAGGGGTATGGGGAAGTGATTCCGCGTCGGCAGTCTCGAATCGCGTGAAGTGTCGAATGACTAGGCAAACTTCCGCTTCACAGAGTGGATTCAGTGAGACGATCCAGGGCAGGTAGCTGGGTGCGCACGGTACGCTTGCGAGCAGTGAGAGCCATTTAGACTGAAGATAAAAATGACCGACCCATCGATCCAATTACTTTCGTAGGTTAATGATCAATAAATCATCCGGTTTACAAACAATCTCACTGACAACAGACTGGGGTTCTGGGTGGTGTAAGAGAAAGGGAGATCAACGGTGGAACTGGTCAAGAGGAATGGGGACCTACACTTCGAACTTGGCCTTTGGTTTGTGCCTCTTGACTCCCTAGTTTTGGTTCGAAGAACAATGAATACACTTGGTCGGATATGCTTGTTTATACGAAGAAGAGACAACCACCGGTGGCATTTGTGTGGTGGGTTTTTGTCCCTCCTTTCCAGCTTCCTCTTCAACTAAGTTGATGCATAACATACAAAGAAAGATAAACATTGCTTGTTTCTCTTTTATGCTTCTATTATTTGAGCATCTTAGTTCATTGCATCGCGTAACAGTGGCTGATTTATTTATCGCCTCCAGCTAACCCTTAGGATGTATGAACACGCGGTATAGTAACGAATATAAGCCCATTCATTGGATAGGCCGACAGTATAACTTTGCAATATCAACTTTGTCATAAGTCCGTATACTAGCCGACATCCAAAAAAGCAACCAAATGATAAATAAACTTGTTGCTCCGCGATTTTTCACCTCATCACTATCTGATCTCACTGGAGTGTATTAAAGCGAAACCTGCTCTATTACTGGTCAGTTGTGGTGACCGATAATGTCTAAGCGCTTGTTATTCGCCACCCAAAAGTGCGCTAACACGATGTCACGTGATCCATCTGAGAGGAAATGTGCATTAATCTTATGCGATCTTCAAAATCTGTGGAAAAGTAAGAAATAAAACAACTGAAACGATGCACATATGCTGCTGGCTTTAAACTGAAAGTCTTTCCCCCATGTTACTGTGTCTGATGGTTTTTGTTTCTGTATATTCCCGTATGTTTCTATTGCTTCCAACCGGAACTAACGTCAAATGTGCAATACACCGCGAATTTTAGTCACAACATACCATGGCTATTTAGAGACACGCTACCTGCAGTGCTGCGTAGAACCCGTACGAAAAATGCAGCACTTCAAATCCCCGTCTGGAATACCGTCCGTCACTAACAGGTGATGCTGATAGGAAGCAGGAGGAGAGGTGCACAGGGAATTCCTGGCAACATTTTGCATGTGCTTTTCTTCAAATTGCGGATGACCTTTTTATAAGGCGACCCCACACTACAGAAATGCAAAATTGTATGGACATTTAAAACAATTAGATCCCTTTAGTAATTTGAATAATGCCGTAAGAAGACGAACACTGGCAGATGTCAACATTTCGTATTGTCTCTTCAGTGCCAACACAATAACATGAAAATATATAAGACCAAAGGTAGGGTGAGACCGGAACAAGTTAGAACAGGGTAGAGGGGCAGGCGTGACACCCCTACGCCCAGGGCACAATGTTTACAATCGTGTTAAGACATGTTAACACCCGTTTCCTACGTTTTGCAGAGGCAGTCGCGATCAGCCGTATCAAACCCGCACTCTGTGTGCAGAAACAGTTGTTCGTAAGCCTACGGCTGCCCTGGGCGTAGGGGTGTCACGCCTGCCCCTCTACCCTGTTCTAACTTGTTCCGGTCTCACCCTACCTTTGGTCTTATATATTTTCATGTTATTGTATGGACATTATCGACTTTTATTCGGTAATACACGGTATATGTTGGTCTGAATCCACTATTTGTTACAACTAAAAGACATTTTCAATGCTCCACGCTGTTTATTATATCCACGTACGCATTCACACTCTCCATATCTCGATGCTGGTCCGCTGCTATTCTAATCCTGCGAGATTCTACGAAGCATTTAACATTCGTACTTTATTCAGCACTCGAAACGTCCCGAACCAGAATTTACTTATGCGAACATTCGTACTTACACGGACCAGCGCTAGAAGTGTAAATAATTCAGCATCACTGAAGGCATACATGCAAATGACTATTTGATTCAAACAAACGCAGTCAGCTCTCATATATGAATTATCTTTTACTATTTTATGCATTGAGCTACTACCCAACAAGCAAGTTTCCAAGGGATGACAAACTATAATACTGGTAGAGATTTTTGCTTCGTTGGTTATCACTTTCCCATAGTGCATCATGCAACCAGTAGCAGATAAAGCTGCACAAATATGAAACATTTTATTGTTCGAAAGAAATCCTGTTAACTCGTCTTAATTTTTTGCATTTCAGAAGTCTCCAAATTTGAAGCGGAAACTGATCTGCTCAAAATTATTAGGTGCCTGCGAGAAAAACCTTCCACCAGGTTCTTCTACTTGACTCCCGCACTACCGAGACGTTCCACCAATTATCACTACTACAATCTCAAGTAGGTTTATGCGCAATCAAAGTTTTTATATTATATATATGTATATATGGTTGGCGGCATCCGGATTCGGATTTGCCTGTCGCTGTGGCCAGCCACAGGACGCCTGCGTCTACAGAGAGACCATGGATGGCTTGCGCTGCACCAACCACAGTTCCATCCAAACACCCCATATCCAATGTAAGCCCGAAAGAATAAGACCGGGAGACATGTGGATGGGAGCTACATTTCATCAACCGAGCCAGCTCACACACCTTCACAGGCAAAACAAACACGCTGTAGTTGGGAATGAATCGCACACAAGGCGGTGGCTGAACCTTAGTCCGCTCCACACTGAGTGCATGGAACCACTCTTTGATCCTAACACGGCCACAGTGACCGTGCACCCGGTCTCCTCCAGCGCCGACCAACTGTATCCTGGAGCCAGTATGGAGTAGGTAGTGGGTTATAGATAGGTAGGCACGTTGTCAACATGCACATCAAGCGCAGCCACTATGGGGATATCAAGCAACAGCCAGTCACGTGAAACGACAAGATAAAAGCAAATAAATCCAATAATGCATCCAGATACGGCGACATAACTCTTCACTAAATGAGCGTGTAAAAAAATGATTGCGAAAGAATCCGCCATAAGTCCGAGAGGTCAGAAAACATTTTTTTAATGTCACAAACGCGAAAATATTATCGAAATTATCTGCAATTAGCTTCAGTAACGTGTGCAAGTTTATAGAAGATAGTACAGGTAGACAATATTATGAGAAAGGAAATCATTAGGACAACATTGCGAACCCACTACCTGAAATAAAGGGACCTGGCATGCCAGCACACGGTTAGTAAATCGAATGCAACGTACCTACAAACACTGCACCGGTTCTGTCTACGTTCGCTGCAGGACCCGTCGTCGCTTCGGTGGTGGTCTCGAGTGGCCTGGCTCATGGCTCACTAGGCCTGCCTGACTCAGGCACTCGCGACCGCATGTGCTACAGGACCATGCGCTCGATGTCGATGGAGTACAACCCATCGGCGCTTTCCGCTTCCGCACTCCGGCAACTGCCTTTGTGATTAGATCGCGCCATGCACGCCGATCAACCGCAATCAAGATTAGAACGTGAGAGGCTCACTTTGATCATGTCCTGGTAACGTAACTTTGGTTTCCTCACGTGCCGCTTCCCAATACTCAGCTGACCGTATAAGAGTTGTTTCGCTACCCGCGTTGAATCCATACGCCATACATGACCGAGCCACCTTAGGTGTCTCAGTAAAAGTATGCAGTCCACTGCATACATCCCACTTTGTCGCAACACTTCCGTGTCTGCAACTCTGTCGCCCCAACTGATGCGCAAAATTCGTCGCAGACACTGCTGATGGAACCGCTCAAGATATCGCACATCGCGCCGGTACATCGTCCAAGTTTTACTACCGTATAGAAGAACGGACAGCATCATGGATTTGTACACCATCAGCTTCATGTCAACGGTAACCTGGTGGTTTTTCCACAGTCGTTACTCTAGCTTCCCGAATGCCGCCGCTGCCTTCGAGACGCGGATAGATAGCTCACTGTGTATCTGCTGGTCAGTCGACATCACACTCATATTTATATGTATGTACATATATATACATATATACATATATTGTCTCACAGTGTCACACACACACAACTGCACAAGGTCAGCCACAGCCCAAAGAGTTGTTTTCAACCGTTTAACGACGGTAAACCGTATAGGTGTGTACAACTGTTAGATGCGATTTGAAGCTAGTGGGCTAAGAATTACATCGGTAGTGTGCTGTGCTAACTAATGGCGTGGGCACGATGTACACAGTCTTGGAAGCAAATTGACACGACAATAGCAGGAAAACTGCTCTCCAATGAGTTTTCTAAACCTGTCGTAACGGACGTAAGTGCTTCGGAGACTTTGAAGGAATGAATAGAGCGGCGACCAACAGCACGGTGGTAGTTCATGCTTACACTCTGCTGCCACGCGACCACCACTGGTCAATTGCGATCTAGAGGTACCGTAAAATCACCTGTACCTGGTCAGGCTCACATCCGGTGGCCTGTGGTTTACAAGCAACACGTTTATGCTGGTGTGAAACGATTAAACAAGAAACAAGTTTTCGGTCATACAGGATGTTTTATAACGATTTGCTGATCGCATGCAATTGATGCCGTTGCGATCAATGTTAAAAATTACCAAGCGATGCATGAGCGCAGTGCAGAGAAATTAACCGGCTGAGATCAACTAGAAAAGACACGGGCAAACGCGAGTTGAAAAGGAATGCACCATTCTCGCGGCTTGACTCATCACAGGTGGCACAGCATGTACGCTGCACACGAATAAAGTAGTGGACTTAAGGATCACAACCCTGCCTTGTAATCCGGAGGTCTCGGGTTGGGGCTTGAGAAGGCAACCGGCCACCATCGCAGCATTCTCAGCCCACACGCGACTCTTAATGGTTGTGCGGCAACGAAGTGTCGATATTGCTTACCGGCGTACTGCTGATGCTCTGTTTGATTCCACGATTTCTCCGGGGTTGGCACATTGACGAACCTGGAGCACACACAATTTGCGTTACTAAACGGATACCGTTTTTCTCGCATGTTATTGGCCAGAAGTAGGTTGGCTGTTCATGTTGCTATGCTCTTATTTGCTATGAAAAAGCCTGCTTTGTTGCAGCTAGAAGTGCACGGAACAATTATCTAGACCTAATCAACAAATAATGTCGCTTAGTTAGAAAAGCACACATTGAGGGTGGGAACTTTTATCATTACATAATAATCCTCAACCAGGGTGATTTTGCTAACGAGATCACTGGTTATAATTATACTGCTGGTAATATTCATAATGTATAATTTATCAAACGTCCTATGAATTTCACGGTCCTCGCTATCTAGTGCGGTGGAAGCCTGAGGAATTTAAGGAGATACACAGTTTATAATAAACACTGTGTATGAACTGAAACCTAATGGTGAGTAATTCCATGATAGGCAAGAACGCAAGAGCGCGTATGGTTTCAAGAATGATGATGCAATAAAAGCACGTGATCAACTATTATGTTCAAAACTTAATGTAAGGATGGGCATCAGCAGTACGACGGTACGCGCTGCCGACGTTTCGCTGCCGCGCAGGCACCACCAGTTGCGTGTAGACGAGGGTCGCCTGGTTCCCATAAGCGGACTAGAACACACTTCGCTCATTCGATCACGGGCCGACTTAAGACATAGTGGGCGGCATCCGTTTCCGGAGTTGCTGGTCACTGCGACCTCCATAGGACATCCACGGGACACCTGCGCCTGCAGAGGGACCATGGGTGGCTTGCGTTGCGCTACCCACAGCTCTATCCACACACCACATATCCAGTGTCAACCCGAAAGAATAAGACCGGGAGGCAGGTGGATGGGAGCCACGTTCCACCAACGGAGTCAGCTCACACTCTTCCAACATGCACAGCAACAACATTCCTGTTTAACTATGTAGGGAATCACGCGTACCAGACGTGCACAAGGCGGTGGCTGGACCGTAGTCCGTCCTACACTGGATGAAATCACCCTTTGAGCCTAGCATGGCCAAGAGGACCGTGCACTCCGTTCTCTCCCCAGCAACGAATCACAGTTTCCCGGAGTCAGTGAATGAGGTGGAGGGTATTAGACAAGTAGGCACCTTGCTAACATTCATATCAAGCGCAGCCAAACTGATGATATAAAACAATCAACATGGAACTAAAGGTAAAGCAAACACGTAAAACTGACACGTTATATGCAGCAGAATAGCGGTATTGAACAAACGAAATAAAGTGCAATGACCATAGCATTTCCCGCAAAGTTGCATGAAATGACGAAAATTTTAATAACAAGCGCAAAATTTGCAAAGAAGGTGCAAATTTTGCAAAGTGCAAAATTCCGCAAAACCCTGTGCGATTCGCCGGCCGCCCTGAGTCAATCCCCTGACCTCAAGTGTGTTCTCAATGGTCGGGTGCTAGGATTTGCTGCGTAAGTCGTGAAGCCAGCGCGCTGCCTGTTGACCACTTGAGACTTGTGAATGGACGTGGGCGGGTGAACGAGCTACCATGCACCGCCCCCCTCCCTGACGTCCGAAACGCTGGATCACAATTGATCTGAGAGAAATGAATGACCGGAACATAAGCGCACGAGTGAATGGAAGTTCTTCATATGGATCGACGAAACAAACTTCAACCTTTACTGCAAACGTACTCGTGGTCGGGCGCCCGGAGGAGTGAGGGCCTGTGTCAAAGTAGCCAACAGTAGAGACCCGAGTTTACATATCATCGGTGCACTCACAATAGATGGAAACGTTTCGATGACTACACGGAGAGGCTCATTCACTGGCCCCCTATCTCTCCAATTGGCTGCGAGGCGGTTTTGACAAGCTGAAGCAGGAAGTGGAGCTCCGGCAGGTGGTAATAGTGTCTGACAATGCACCATGTCACAGACGTTTGGAAACACTTGCGTCAGTCGAATGATACGAAGGGGTTGCCATTCTGAGATTGTACCCATACCCGTTCCTCAATCCCATCGAAAATGTTTGGCAGGTGGGGAAGGCCCGAGTAAAGAATGAAATGTGAATGTTATACGACGAACTTCTGGCCGAGATCCCCAGAACCTCATGAGGCAAATGGAATGGAGGTTGCAGTTTCTGGAACGCATTGCCAAAACAGCAACCAGTGAGATCAGTGTTGCGGGATGTCGTAAAGCGGTTCGACATATCCGTACACATTTTCTTGATTGTTTGAAAAATAATGAGGTGCTTTGGTTACATTCCCAGCTCATCACCTTTGACATCTGGTTGTATAGCGTATACCAATAGGAGTAGGTAGGGACACGAGGATATTCAAAGTCTCGGCGAAATATGTATGCACGTACGTATGAGTATACATTCGTACGGCGGTTGCAGCGATATCTGATGTCCAACGTTAGTAAATGACATGGGACTGGCTCCCAATGATACATGGACGAGTGGTATTTGTAGCGTATCCTCTACTTCGTA